ACCTGCTGGGTGGTAGGCTGCGCAGGAGGCTCCGAGCTTCCCCCGCTGAAGGCTCCGGTCAGGGCACTGCCCACCACGTGTCCCACGGCCGAGCCCACGGCCACCCCGGCGGCAGTGGACGCCATCTGGGCCATGAGACCTGGCTGTCCTGAAGCCACGGGGGCCGGGGCCGGAGCCGAGGGCTGTGCAGGTGCGGGCGGGCGGGCGGCAGGTGCCGCTGGACGGCTAGCTGGCCGGGCAGCCACGCTGCGGCTTCCCCGGGGCATCTCGGCGCAGGCAGGCGGGGCGAGCCGGCGAACTCAGGGGTGCTTCTGCCTCCCCGACTGGAGCGTGGCCGGGGATCGCGGATCCTATAGTTCAGTTTCTTGAATTATTTGCTTAGCATACAGATTGAATAGGTATAGAGAAGGATTAAAGTCTTTTGATTTTAAACGATATAGTATTCCATTGTTCTGTTCAAATTACTGCATTTTGATCTATTGTAGCTTTTACAAGAACACAATTTAGTGTTCTAGAATTCTTTTTTTTTTAGGCTATCCATAAATTTTTATATTGTCAACACAATTGAATGTCATTGCATAGTCAGTAAAACATATTTTGCAGATGACACAATCTTGCTTGCACAAAGTGAAGAAGACTTAAAACATTTACTAAAAAAGATAAAAACTACAACTTTCAAAAATTCTTACAATTGGACTAATAAGCAATATCATGATAAAAAGAGAAACGATTGAAATTTATTTCATTTTACTTGGATCTGCAATCAGCATGGTGGCAGTAGCCAAGAAAGCAAAGGTATGTTACATTGGGCAGATCTGCTGCCAATCACTTCTGTAAACTGTTAAAGAGTAAAGATGGCAGTTTAAAGATTAAATATGCTTGACTCAAGCCATGGTATTTTAAATTGTCTCATAGGCCTATGAAAGTCAGACAATGAATAAAAGAAGTGGAAGAAAAATTGATGCCTTTGAATTGTGTATTGATGAAGGGTATTGAATATTCCATGGACTGCCAAAAGAACAGTAGAAGTGACACAGTGACTGAACAATGGACTTGAGCATGGTAAAGATTATAAGAATGGCATAGGACAAGGCAAGGTATTAATCTGTTGCTCATAGAATCACTAAGAGTCATAGTCAACTTGATGGCACCTAACAACAACCATTAGGAAGAAAGGCCTGTCAAAAATCGTATAATGAAATACCTATGAATCACAACTGTTATTTTTTTTAAATGAAATTTTTATTTTATACTGTTTACTTATAAAGTTTGTATACATTGTTTTTCACACTGGATCTTTCCCATTCCTTTACCCACCCCTTCCCTTTACTCATCAAATTGGGCAACACTATGATTACCCCCTAACCCCCACCCATCCTCACCCCTCTGTTCCTACCCTCTCCCTCTTGGATCCTCATATATATTTTAATAGTTATCTTTCAAGTTCTATAATAATGGTCTTATATTGTATTTGCCCTTATGGGACTGAGTTGGTTAATTTAGCACAATGCTCTCTAGACTCTCCCAAGTTAGGTAATAATTTTCAAAATCATTGCTCTTGCATACTGCATAGTATTCCATTTTGTGAATGTACAATTTCTCGGTCAGTTTGATTGTGGTTGGGCATTTGGACTGTTTCCACATTCTTGAAATAGTGAGTAATGCTGCTGTGAACATTGATGTACAAGTTTCTGTGCCTCAGTTTTTATTCTCTCAGGATATAATCTAAGCTGTGAAATAGCTGGGTCATATAAAATTTTAAGTTCAGCTTTTTTATTAATTAAATTTTGTTAATTTTAAAGAACATTTTACAGAGATTTTGGGTTTCCATTCATTCATTGTTGCACTATTTTCTCTACCCTCACCCCCAGTTCGTTCCTCATTTTTTTTTCCCACCTTGAAAGTTTGTTTTAATTGTCCAGTTGCCACAGTGCTTGTCAAAGCCAGGTCTGATTAATCTCCTTTGTCAGTGTGTCCTTTGCCATTCCCTATCACTCCTCCCTGAGAGACTTCACTCTAACTCGTAGCTACTTCCTGCTGAAAAGGGACGCTGTGGATTTCAGGGTGAAGATCTTCTCTCACTACTCTAAAGGGCCCCTGTGGCAATAGGAGACACGTAGACTATTGTGGAGATTGATTTTGGAATCTAGATGCACTGTTATCAGTTGTGCTTAGTCATACATGTTCATTTCCTTGAAGATGTATCATGGAATGTTGCAGTCTAGAAGACACAAATTTAACTAACAAGTTAAAAGTACATGAGTCAAAAATTAAAAAGCAATAATATTTCAAGGAGAGGTTCTAATAGTGGCACAAATCAAGTTACAGAGGAAAGGTAGTTCTTAAAATAAAAGGCCTATTGACTAGCACTTTGTCTATTATAGTATAAAGGTGAGGACCCACAAGATGTAGAGGCTCAACTATGTCATTTATTGTTCTTAAGTCCTGGAGCAAATTCCATCTACCACTGGGTTGTTTTATAGCTCGGAAGTCCGCATGCAAGGCAGAGGTGAAGTAAGGAACTACTTATGAGGTTTTCCATCCATTCCAACAACTAAGAAATAGTGAGAAGAGTTGGGACCTCAGAAGGCTTTAAGGACCAAATAGTAGGCTCTTGTGTCCAGGAGTAAATGAATATACTTATCAGTAATGTTAATGCTCACCCACAGCTCTTCTGGGAGGATCTAAATCGTTAAGTTCAGCTTTTTGAGGAAATGCCAAACTGCCCTCCAGAGTCGTTGTACAAATTTACAACCCTACCTACCGTGTATAAGAGTTCCTATCTTGCTACACATCTCCAACACTTATTACTTGCTGTCCTGTTAAACTTTGTCACTACTATTGGGGCGCGATGATTTTTTTTTTTGTGGTTCTGATTTGCATCTCTCTTATTGCCAGTGATTTGTAGCATTTCTACATGTGTCTGTTGGCCATCTTATTATCTTCCTCCGTGAAAAGTTTTTCTGTGTTTTTTGACCATTTTGTAATTGTGTTATCAGTCTTTTTTTTGAATCACAGCTATTTAATGCACAACTGATCACGGAGAGGTAACAAGACCCGGTAGCATCTTGTACCATTCATTGTATTTGAAATCATTAGGAGTCAGGGATGTACACCATGATGGATAACAACAATGACAGCAATAATCTATTAGTTGTTGTGGTGGTGGTTTGTCTTCGAGTTGGAACTGACCCATACTTGACCCTCCAGTAGGTTTTCAGAGGCAGTAAATTGTGTGGGAGGGGTATTGTTCATTCTTCTGCCATGGAGCATCTGGTGAATTTGGACCTCTAGGATTACAGTGCAGTTTCTTACCACTAAGATATCAGAGCTCCCTAATCTGTTAGGGGACTGGTTATTATTTGCCAGGAGGTAAAATGGAGCCAATGCATAAAACATAAGTTTAAGAACTTAAAACTTAAAGATGGGATTGTCTCCTGGGCTATCCCAGTTAACTAGCATGTTAGAGTTCATAAAGCCGATATTCTATAACCCTGAGGGGCAAGTAGTGTTTGGAGTCTTAAAGCTTACAAGCAGCTTTCTAAGATACAACTATTGGTTTCTACATGTCTTGAACAGAAGTGAAGGCAGGGAACCAAAATCTAATGGAAAAAAAAAATAGGTAGCAACACTAACAGTTTACCCTCAGACTAAAGAATTAGATGTTGCCTGGCTACTACTGTTGTTGTCGTTGTTGTTATGTGCCGTCGAGTTGTTTG